ATAGGCAAGCCCGACCACCACGTCAAGGTAGCAACAACGGTCGGGTTAAAAGAGCCACAGGCAGTGTTGTATTAGATGTACGTATTCAATATTTTTCTTAGTTTATACTCATATCTGTACTAAGCCATTGTTCCTGATTTATCATCTATTGGGTTATTTTGTAGTGTTTGTTGATCTGGGCAGCCTTTGACATTGACATTGACATTGACAAGTTAGTATGGTCAGAAATGAACAGAGGTACAACTGCTGTAAAAAAACCTTTACTGTATGCTTTTAAAATCTAGTCTCTGAATTTAAAATACTCACTGGCTCACTGTTTAATTTAAACTTTCACAAGAAATTTCTCTATTTTGATGGCTTCTTTGTTTAGTTAATACTAATATCTTACAACATGTGTTGGAATATAACATGCATCGTCAACCAATCGGTAATCTCATCCTAAAAAAGTGGCTTTGATTTGTTGGATCCTTTTTTAGTGAAGAACTTGCAGAAAATTCTATACTGGGAACCGTTTGCTAATTTCGAGAATCTTTAAAAATGTTTAGTGGTAGTCAGTTTATAACATAATGCTTTAGAATGAAAAATATCTGTGATGGGACTATCAAGGTTGTCTAGATAAGTTCGTAGAGATTGGATAGCTTGGTGGTTTAAAAATCGGCTCACGACGAAAGCAAGTGGATATCATTTTGGTTGTGCTTGAATCGCATTTTGAAATGTTCTTGTTATTATTATGTAATTTTTCCGTTCTAATTTATTCACAAAACTGTCATCTTGTTTTGTACAGTGTATTTTTGATGCTTGATTAACTCAATGGTTTTAAGCTCGAAGTAAATATATGTAGCTTTATTTCGCATAGAAAATTTAATAAGATAAATTAACTGGGTTTTGTATACCATGGACCTGTGAGTTCCACACTTATACAACTAGTCATTTGAATATTCTCCGTATAGGTGATATACCTCATTTCCTTTTGTGTTTCGCTTGGTTTTCGGACTACGTTTACCTTTTAATGATTACATATTCGATCCAGGGGCCGTGACGTGAGTCGGTACACAACGTATCTCTGTGGTGCCCGAGATTATCCTGATAGCATGGATGCGATGCGTATCATCCTTAAAGAACAGGATTTAATTCCGGATGCAGTTTTGCTGGTTAGTCATCTTTTATAAATTCTATATTATCGCCTGTAGATATCCTTTCAAAGGTTTTTACAATTCACCCAGATAAGTGATAGTTTACAGGAGTAAATCATAAAGTTCAATATTAATCTAGAAATTTGTATTTTTGTAATAAATAACGGGTACTGAAAGCCGGATTTTGAACTCTTAAATAATTTCCATCAAGTTCGGTAGCTCTACTCCTTTGAAAGTGTAAACTTCTTTCTAAATTTTAATGGGATTCGTCCGTTTGTACCATTAAACGCTTATTATCGCAAAGAATATATTACATAATGCGTCAGAGTTTTCTTGTAGAACAGATATAACGGAACTGAAGGGACAGACACTGATTACGTTGTTTACTTATGACGGTTGATTATGAACAGAGAAAGCTTCATATGCGTTAGGTGGATTTGTATTCTTTGTAAACTGATGCCTACGAATGAACAACTATATATGTTGTAACTAGCGTTATCCGTGAGTTGACACCGATACTCAGTCTTCTTATACGTCAGCCCAACGGGCTACTGCGTTGCAAAGATCAAGAAGTAATCGATATATATATATATATCTTAGGAAATTAAGTGATCAATGGTATGTCTCATTCTCTAGGAATGAAAGTTATTTCCAGCCCAGTCACATGTTTTCATCATTTAGCGGATTTCCTATTGGCCTAATGTTTCAATATCCATTGCGAATTCCTGAGTGTTATGCTCAAGATTATTTACTTAATAGTGCGTTGCTTTCCTCTATTTTTCGGTTAATATTTTTCATAATAGATGTTTTTGAGAATACAAGTAATGAAGAATGTGTTAAATTAATTTCTTGATTCTAAAATAGATTCGTTTTAAGCATTTAAAACTCAATCTCAACGCGAAAATCACCAAACATTTCTCAAACATTTTGGAAACATCTCTTAAAAGACTATCGACCCCCTAGCTGTTCAAAATAGATGTGCGAGATAACATCACTGGAATAATAAGAATAACAAGTTGTTACTAAATTCGAAAAACTAAAGTATTTGTTAAAAGTAGACCCTTTATTAAACGTTTAGAAAATTGCATTTTTGATTGGTTATAAAGGCAAAGGGATCGAAGGTAAATCGAACATATTTCACATCCTGTAAAATGTTATTCCCCCTGTCGGAGCTCACCTCTATTAATATGCTCTCTTTTGATAACCGCCCTTATTAATATACACCATTTTTAAGTCATCCTTTTGGTGGGATACCCTCTTTGCTACCTCAATCATCAAAAATTTGCATCCTAATCAACTGATTTGGCATTTTTGCGTAGTAGCTTATGCCTAAACTCAACATTCTTGACTCATTTGTTTCCCGAAACACAAACAATGCTTCAGAAACAAATCAAAAACCTGCCGCGTATGCATGTCCTCCACTTTCAGAGACCATGCTCTACTTCCATAAAGTAATAAGGAGTGGCAAGTTTAAGAGGTATTTAGTTATATGGCTTTCGTTCTATCAAAGCCCTCAAATGCCCTGGTATGGCCGAGAGTGGGGTGGGCCTGCTCTCCCTCTCGAAATGCTCACTCATGGCCTCGCATATACAGCCACTGCCAGGGAAGTCCTACTCACTGCCTTCTCGTGGCGGGGGTGTTGTTTGCGAAAATAAGAGGGTGAAAAGCAAATGTCCGGCGCTTCAACCGGATCCAAAACCAATGGTGCACATGAGCTCCAGTATCCTGAAGGGACAAATGGCGTATGAACCAATTTTTGGTCACCGGCTACCATGGGACTGCATCTCCTTACGATGCTCCACTGCCTTGTGGGTCAGACCTTTTGGCCAAAGGCTCGGGGCGTGGCCCCTTAAGAAAACCAACCACTTCGGTCTGGGCACCCGAGCAGTATCGTAGCCCACACACAAATATAATGGTAATGAAAATGTGTGGCGCATACATGTTTGGTTCCCTCTTGTACCAATATTCATGTGTTCAAATAAAATAAATAGAAAAAAAACATCACTGGGAACACATACAAAACAAGTCGACCACTCATATCTTACAAAACTATTTAATAAACACCTCTCATTATTTTTTCAGCTTGAGGAAGCATATAAAGGAGATGCCTCCCCACCAGTAGCTTTGTTACGACAACCCATTTTCATTGGTAAGTATGTTTTTATTTGCCACTTGAAGCTTCGATTGGAGCTTCTTTTTTAAAAGTCAAGTTTAGGATTTACATACAATCCTATAACTTTGCCAATACCAAACCACCTTGTGTGTCTTGTGAAACTAAGTTAGAGCCTATCAAATACCAAACTTTATGGGTAACATTAACTGTCGATAGAAGCGATTTAACCATTTATTTCTAATAAAAATCAGATAAGATGATCTTGTGTTTAAGGGGTGAACACTTAAACCATACTTCGTGTACCATAATTTAGACTGTTTATCATAGATAGATAGTTCAACTTTAGAGACCTTAGCCACAATGTTCATACCCTCAGTCTAGGCAACTAGACCATCAGTAACTTAGTGGGATGGTGTTATGTGTTGGCTTGGTCGTCTTTAGAGTTTTTCTAACCGGTTTAGCTCATAGGGTTGTACAATGGTCACGAGTGGGTATTTTGACAGATAAATCAAAGAATATCCACTATTTTGTCGGATGTTGTAACATTTTAAACCTAACGGTGCTTCGAAGACATTTACGACCAACTACTTGCATTTGATTTATATCGTCTGCCTTCAAAGGTCTTATATTCCAACTATGAAGTAATACAGAGAGTACTTGTACTCAGATAGACATCACACTGGGACACTAGGTTTCTGTATCCATCCCTAAGTTCTTCCAGACAGACTGATGAAACTCCCAACACAATCGACATGCTCAACTACTTCTCTAGGCATGACTTAAGCCAGTTCTGAAAGAACATTTTGCTTTGGTAGTAAGAGAAATACTCTCTGGATACTTTCATATGGGTTACTGAGGTTTTTTAGGTCTACATTTTGTCAGCGTTTGTATAAAAACAGTATATTTGTTGCGGACTACAAAGCAGTGAGTTTTCTAGTACTACAAAATCAATCCTTAAGAAGTCAAATGATGTGTTTTATTAAATAATTCTGTTTAGATAAGTAGTCAGATACTATGTGTAATATTATAAAAGTTTTTTAATGTCTACTGAACATAAATGTCCCTGTTATCATTATTTGTTTAGGATAAACGGAAGATATGCCCATTCTTGTTCACATTTACCCCGATTTGCTTTTCTGTAACTAGCACTTTTTATTTTGTTGATATTACTGCTGGGAGCTAACTGTTAACTGAATTATAGAAATAATACAAGCAAAAGCCTTTTTTTAAATACATTTTCTTATGACCCTTAACACTACCAGTTGATAGGGTAGTTTAATTTGTGTTCTTTTGTCAAGTATGACTTCATTTGTTTAAGCATACTACACTTGTACAAAAAAATTACCAATACTAAACATTTCGTTGTCATATAAGGTACAATTAGTAAGTGTTTCATGTGTTACAGCAAAATAAAATAGTCTTATTTATCCACAACACTGTAATACTTCACGATTTAAACTATGTAGATGTTGATTGAACTTGCTAAGATCTATGCATACAAAATCACATGTGTAGCAAGAATATATTTTCAGTACAATAAATAAATACCAAGTTATTTGAGTTGTTGTCAGTTAGTTGATGGTAAATTTATGCAAGAATTCGATTGAGAGTGTCTTTGTATACTAGTTTTCTCTCTGTTTAATTGATTAGCGGGGTTTGAACTGACACTTGTGACGGATATTTTGTAGCATATCTTTCCGTAAGTTGTTCGTCAGAAATAACTTGCTGCATGATATTTCATATCCTTAGTTGGATGAGCAATTTTCTTACCAGTGAACGTAATCGAAGATAGGTATCAAGATCGTTATTTCTTAAATTAATGAGCCTATGTGTACATGTGCAAAAGACGATTTGTAGCATTTCAAAAAATTTTATTTATGTGTTAACCAGTGGTAATAAATTTCACAATAATCATCTTATTTTTATGTACTAGCACTTCTAGCAGATGCATTATTTGCAAGTTCTGATAGATTGTTAACTGAACAATTAGAGCAATATGCATACCTTTACAGCTATGCTGCAGTGGTCGTTGAAGAGATTGAACCTACTACTGAAAGACGTATCTCATGTATACGTACTGAAGTTGATGAAGCAAAACGTGAAGTTTTAGAAGCAAGTCGAATTTGTAGACAAGTACGTACCAGTAACCTGTCGACGATATTCAGCAATTTTTCTCATATTTTATGCTCCCTATTTTCTGGTGATTACGTTGGTTTAGTTTATTATCTTATGCGTGTTGTTTATCGCGACTGTGTCGCTTATTTGAAACTGGTTCACTTCACTTTTAGTACTAAAGTAGTGTCGTTTACATGTACATATACTTGAGAATCACTTTGTACATGAGTATCATCAACAGCTTCTTTGCATAAAATAGCGCTGCAAATAAATGGAACACAAATAGACTAAAACAACCTAACAAATTTTTCAGTGCTTAAAATCATCACGGAAAAAATCAATGATCAAAAAAAGAGTAAAAGTAATTGCATCAACTATGTCAGTGACAGTTTTCATTCTCCTGTTTATATTCAGTCAGTCAACTAAAATTTCTCTTATCTGAAAACTATTCAACAGTCTCACTGCAATAACACAATGAGTGATTAAAAGTTATTGCTATGTTCCACTAGCTATGACCATTAACCTGTTACACAGACATTTAATTGGTTACGGATGGCGAATATTACTGCTAAATTTATACATCCTAAGACCGGCATAACTCATGGTTTATTTCAAATTCCAATGAGCATATATAGTACCTTTCATCTTAGTGTCGCTATAAGTGAGGTAATCTAACGCATGCTTAAATTTAGAAAGCCCTGAATTACCGATAAAACTTGAATCGAATCAGTTGTACGGTTCTGACCGTCTTTGCAGTAAAGGAATTGGTTTCTTAAGGCTTTATTTACTAATCAACTGGGAATTCATCGTCCACCCTACGCAAAACAATTGTGTTCTTGTAATCATGTGTCAAAGTTAATATTTTTATAACTTTATTGGCTATGGAAAATCTTTTTCAAGTTGTTATGATTTATGGTTCTGTCCATACGAAAGACCAAGTAGGCTTCACCGTAGTGACAGAAAAAGACCAGAATAATTCACTTTGACATTCATTCCAGTTCCTACTCAATGTAATTACCGTTTTGCAATTCAGTTTACATATATGATACACATACAATAAACTTTCATTTTTTATTTCAGTGGAACAATATGTCTGGCAGTGGAATTAGTTTACGTGCTTTCCGAGACCTTCCATCGCTTTTGAGATGTTTATCATGTCGACCTGTTTCACTTGGTGTATTTCGTTTCGTTCGGGTCGTTTTTCATACGAAACGTGTCGATTTTGAATTAAATATGGACACCATGAAACCTTACTGTATAGTAGTGAATGAATTGGCTGAGGTCAATGAATATTTACGTCCAGCTCTCTTAGCATTTATCACAGAATTACTGGCTTCTTCAGTTGAAGGAATGGAAGACTTGAGTCAGGTATGGTCGAGGTATCTTCTGTTAAACGCTCCTCCTTCATGAGTTTTCTTTCAGGTTATCTGTATTACTGTATCTTATATTTTGATTTTCTTCGATTTAAACAACGTTTATCGTTCTTAGCCCCATGGTTTGTGGAAATCGTTCACTTTGAGGATAACTTTACACCATGGATTGAACTTGATTAAACAGACACTAAAACTCAGAAAATATACTGATGAATAAATTACAGGTGAATTTTGAAAACTTTAGTGAGAAGCTGTGATTGATGAAGTTCAATCATTTCTGGTGTTAGACAGGTACTACCGATCGTAATGGATGGCGGTCATATAATATCGCGAACCATCTGAAGCTGAATGTGTTAACCATCGAACTTCAACTTTAGTAATCTGAAGGTAATAAACTTACCGTTGGATATAACGGTCCTAAGTTTGTTCCCCGGTCGGGTCGTAGGTATTCACTATTGAGAATTCTCATACTAGAACGAAAATATCGTTCGGTGCTCGTTGGTTTTTAGTGGTTTTCTATCTAAAGTCAGTCCATGATGTAAACTGTTACGTCTTACCAAAAAATCCTAATGATATTGCTGTAACATAAACTCCTTCCTGCTACTTGTTCAACGAAACAAGATTAGTCAGACTCAATCCAATAAAAAATCCAAGACTGTTAGATGAAAATTTATTTGCAAACCAATAACCGATTACAATAGCATTCTAAATAAATATGAAATATGTCGTTCCAAATGCTTGGATCAGTTGAACTAGCATTGAATAACTCAATATTTACATACAATTGAGTTGTATATCTTCCTCCTTTCTCATATAAACTATTCACAAAGTTGATATCTTACTGTACAGCAATCACCTCTACCAGCGTTTTACACGACGTTTTGCCGTTTACCTTTTACTTTCCGGAAGGATTTAAATACTTACTTTATACACGTTTTTATTTACCACGAGCATATTTTATTTCATTAATTTTTTTCCTATTTCGCTTCTCTCTGTCAGTAAGACCTATTTTATTAGGTACAAAATATTCACTTTTTAAAAATAATTTAACTACCTGAACGTTTATATTTTACAGTTAGAATACAAACGAATGTTGGTCGGATTACTTGTTCATTTACTATCATGTGGCCATGTACTTCCTGTAATAAACACAATGCATAGACTGTTTTTACGCAATCGTGTTGATGTTTCTATTGTTCGCCATTTTGTTACAGAAGTACGTGACATGTTTTTTGATTTTATATTATGAATATTGATAGATTATTACAGCGTTCACCATATACTTATCCATTTGAGATGAACACTTAAATTCATGTTGGATAACCAGGAAACAAACAGTTTGCAAATCAAGAAAATTTTTGTTATCAGTATAGGGTTGTGGAGGTTTCAATCAAAGCTTTTGTTTTCAATTTTCATAATCGTCTGTTATTAGCCTTGGTATTAAGCTTAAAAAGATAGCCTCTAAGCTCGTAATATGTTAACCGATTTTTATCTTAGTGTTACCACTGACAATTTTCTTCAATTGAGCTCGCTAACAAGTAGGCCAAAATCCTATAAAACTAGGTGTTAACTTGAGCAAAACATTAATTCAACAGATAGTAATTATGTACACCTATCAGAAATCGTGCCTGATTTTTATCACCATAATCATTTAATAATTACCCTTTTAAACCCATATTGTGTGGTTTCGTAACTAAAGGAATTACCAAAATTAGAACTGGCGTAAAATTGTGAATTGTTAAGAATATTTCAGTTAATAACGATGAATATAGACGCTTGTGAGACTATTAGCAATCGCTCAACTGTTAAATCTATAATGATATCGAATGAAACAGTACATGTTAGTGAATGACAATTTATTGAGTTAGAACATTTACTAGAATAAATAACTAGCATTCATATACATATAAAATGTTACCATACACATGAGTCAACCGTAAACCTTGCTGATTATCACTTAGGTGATATACCTCCTTGGCTTCCTTCTACGAAGCCTGTTTCGGGTTATATTATTGACAATGGGACCGTGACTTTGTAGTTGAAGCACATGGTTTTCAATGATTAGACCTCAGGTTCATGCCCCTCTCTGTTTAGCTCGCCATTGGCGAATTGATAATATCACTACCTCTCACACAAAAATATGTCTGGAAGTCAACTGAGTAAACCTGAACTTGGTGAGTTTTCCAACTAAATGGCAGACTTTCGCTGTTTCGTGTGCATTTGATTCCTATGAAATCGTGTCAGTTAGGTAAAACCATTTATATATCTGTTTAGACAGACCAACTAAGCCATTCAAGATATCTTGCTGTCAGTTTATTTGGTGAATGATATGAATACTTATTCATCTATTGCATGCCATCACATAGTGCTGTGAAAATGGATTTTATACATTAGATTGATAAAAACGTTTTATGTCAAGAATAAATAAATATTTGTGTATGATTTCTGTTTTAATTTCCCAAGGCCGTCATATTTTTAGCTATATCAAAGAAAATTGGAGCCAACCGTAAACGCAATCGGTTTATAAACTAGTAACAACTGCTAAATTTCTTAGAGCGATATCAAATTACTTACATAAATGTCGGCTATATTTACTAAATAATAAACATATGTGTAGCGGTATACTACATTACGTCTCATACTAACCTCGGTTTCTAGATAACTGCAATGACAACGACTGTTTTCATCACATTGTTTAAATAAGTTCAGACACCTTATTAAGTCACCATTAGTGGTGTAAGTCCTATACTGTTGTTGCAATTAATAATGACTCTTATTAAAAACTAATTACTAAATCGTTAAAATTATGTCAAGGTTAACAGATAGTGTGCCTGTTCTTAGTTATAACATTTTATAAATTGCATTTAATTTTTTTTACAGACTGTTCTGTTTAATTTTATCCAATGAAATACTGTAAATTTCGTAATGATATTTTAACTTGACATACACTAATACGGTCCTATTTATCCTGGGACGGCACAAAAATCCAGCACAGTGAACGAAAGTATTATTAAATAATCAATGCATTCCGCAACTATAAAACTGTTGATGATTACATGAATTATATGGGAGTTTCATAATACTCCAATTTAGTTGGTACAAATTTATTGTATAACAATTCTAAATCATATCAATGTAAACAGAACAATTTGAGGGGAGCATTTATTGTAAATAAATTCTTTAATCATATTTCCGAAAACAATCCGCAATATACTAAATAAATGACCTATTGAAATAAACTATAATTAGAATACTAAATCATGTACTGGTCCTTCAGTTTTTGCTACAGATTTGGAGTGTTATAAAATAATTTACCAATTTTCACTAACAAGCCATTTCATACTTTATCAGAAACAAACCTAAATTTTTGACCGAATTTAGATTGTTTACGTTTTATATCCTCTTAAAGTTGTCGAAAATTAATGTACCATGTGAATTTATTTATACATAGTGTTTCATATAGACTTATCCATGTAATTCAAAAAATTTCTTTTTGTGATTCGTTTCCAAAACCTACTAGTTGCATTAATAAGAACTTTCGTCTAAATTTGAACGAATAGTTTCACAATATTTGGGCGCCGAGTTAATATGAGACATTAAAGAGGAAGAATGTATGTTTCAACATCAAATCCATTCACACATATTTGTACGTACTATATTGTTATTATTATTAGGTTCGCTAGTTCGAATACGCATATTAACCTAATCTTAGTTTCGGTTTTGCAACCCGATCACTTCCTTTGAAGTGACGTTAGCATAAAAGTTAAAACTAGGGGCTCTAGGATAGTGTTCAGTTTCATACTATTTCATTTATCTGTTTACTAGACAAGATCTATATAATTTATTATCCTTATTCATATCACAATGATCAGCTATTTTGTCTGAAGTGCAAATAATAAACTTGTCGAAATACCATCCAGTAATTACTAATGCACTGTTGTGCATTATCCATATCCCTGTTTCAATCATATTTTAATGGACTGATGGTTTATTTGATATAAACTATACTGGGATAACTAAATTTCTGTTGATCGACTGGTTTTATCATATACGCTACGTGTAAAAATAAAGTACCTACTCACTGGAAAGTTTTGTTATGATACCTAGGTGAATTCTATTTAAATAAGTCTTTTGCACGTCAATCATCTGGTATCATGCTTCTTATATCCAAAAGTTTGAAGAAGAGTTGTGTTTCAATTTTTACTGAAACTGATGTCTGAAAGTGTCTCCAGTCACTTAACTCGTTTCAATGTTTAGGACCTGATGAAATCCTAAATCAAACCGAATCAGGTGGTTTACTTAGGGGGCCACACCCGCACCCTTTAACATGAAGGTCTGATCCACAAGGCATTGGAGCATCGTGAGGAGATGCAGTCCCATGGTAGCCGGTGACCGAAAATTGGTTCATACGCCATTTGTTCCTTCAGGATCCTGGAGCCCATGTGCACCATTGGTTTGGAATCAGGGTTATATACGCGTGGTCATGTGAGAGCATTCGGAGAGGGAGAGTGGACTCTCCCCACTCTCGGCCTTACCAGGGCATTGGTAAGAAAGAGCCTAACGTCTCTGCTAACTCAAGGTGTGATACACGGAGCTGTTTTTCTACCCTCTTGCATGATCTGCCATCTTTTACAGAAAACACTTGTTAAGAATGCGGATGGTCTTACTGTCTGCGCATTGATTTCTGCCTCTACATCCCTTTGAAATGAATGAGTCCTAGTCGCTCATTGAAAGACTGTTGTTTGTTAATGTTTTGTAGTGTCGGTTACTGTGTCAAACCCACATAACTTATTCTAGATTTTGGACAGGCCACTTTATCCATTATTCTTGAGTCACGTTTTGACCTTGTTAATTATCAACCTTGACTATTTTTATATGAGCGCATGTGTGTACATCTTATCCTACTCATCACATATCCGTAACTTATTTTTGTGTGATTATAAATATTGATTGACGCTTGGTTAAATCGAGTTGGCTTATCCGCCTTCTCCATCGCTCGTCATTTTGTTTTGCTTCGCTTTCCAATAAACAAGTGTACAAAATATACGTGTTCGAAATTCATCCTCGTATTTGACTTATTTAATTCCGTTATTCACCAACGCAAGTTAAGTCGATAATTTTACACGAGGATTGAAGAGATGTATATATTTCAATAGCAACCAATCATACGATCTAATTGGAGTCAGATCTCGGGTCACAAAAGTCTCACACTTAGCCCTTCTAGATGTCAAACTGTTTATTTTGACCTGGGACATGAGCAGCACTTGAACACTTTTTGGGAATCAAATGAAGTTTGTACTATTGGAGATTCTGTGATAAAAAGAATGTTAAAGGTTGATTACCTTTGTATAAGTTTTTCCTCTTACCTTTCTTGGTCTTATCATACCTTATTGATATCGAAGCCAGTTATGTCTGACTTATTATATAAAGAGGCTACATACTTTTGAGATTATTCGACAAATACTCCTACTTTTTGTGAATTTTTGTATTATTCTTTACTGTTCCTCATTATTCTTTCCCGGGCTTTTGAGAAAAGATTTTGCTGTATTGCGGAGAGTGCTGAGGACAGTTAGCAGGGTGTGTGGCGAATCTTTTGAAGTCATTATTAATATGGTTGTGGATAGATATATAAAACTTTGCAAACTTCTGGCAAGTGTATCTCGCCAGACACTGACCATCCGCTCGACTCACATCTTTCACCTTGTTTATCTTCTGGTAGAACAAGATCGCAGTACATTAGAATCCATTCATGTAACCAAATGTACATTGTCCAGCAAATAAACCATGTGACGAGCAAGTTGTAAGAGCTAAATTAGTCAAAGCTTATATTGTCGAACATGTTACCAAAAGTTGTCTAGATTCGTATCTTCTTAAAAGCACTTCGTCTAATTCCAGGTAGTTTATTTAATTATTTCATGTATACATATATGCAGTTATCGATTGTTTTTATGAGAGTAACTTATGAAAATATTGTGTGTTGACAATCCCATATTTTAATAAACGGAATACACCCATTATGACATTAAATAAGAAAGAAAGATTAGTTCAGCGAATAGTTCTCTTTTCGGCGAATTCATTTTCAAAGCTGTACAATCGCAAATATATATACTTATTTTTTACAGGGTGGTAATAATACTGATAATAAACTTCTGTTATACATGGTGACAGTGAGGTTAAATAAACAACGGTATTAGAAAAAAAATTTTTTTAGAAAACAAGGAAAGGTTGATAGTTAATGGCTTAAGTATTCATCGGGTAAGGATGGCTCAGCATGATAAAATAACCGAAATGAAATGTAATCGGAATGATCGTGGAAATAAAAACAAACCGGTTGGGGGTAGAAGATTTGAAGGGAAGATGGAAGGTGAAGCAGGTGGCTGTAAAGGAACAAGAGTATGAAGAAAGAGAAAAAATTTTTTTTTAACACATTAAGACCACGGTAAAAGAAGAGGTTGTACCAGTCTCTTTTGTACACATAATTCTGGTTTTTCAAAATGTATGGCTATTGCCTCGGCAATGCAAAGAAGATGCAGTCTAATTGTCTTAGGAAGGCTTCTACTTACCTTGTAGATGACTTTGAACGCAGAGTCTGTCTTCATTGAGTGACCTGTGTTCACAAGGTGTTCGATTATAGAACTTCTTATTGAGCCGTTGCCTCCTCTTCTTAGCCACGCCGGACAATGTTCTTGAATTCTTTTGGAAGAGGAGGCAACGGCTCAATAAGAAGTTCTATAATCGAACACCTTGTGAACACAGGTCACTCAATGAAGACAGACTCTGCGTTCAAAGTCATCTACAAGGTAAGTAGAAGCCTTCCTAAGACAATTAGACTGCATCTTCTTTGCATTGCCGAGGCAATAGCCATACATTTTGAAAAACCAGAATTATGTGTACAAAAGAGACTGGTACAACCTCTTCTTTTACCGTGGTCTTAATGTGTTAAAAAAAAATTTTTTCTCTTTCTTCATACTCTTGTTCCTTTACAGCCACCTGCTTCACCTTCCATCTTCCCTTCAAATCTTCTACCCCCAACCGGTTTGTTTTTATTTCCACGATCATTCCGATTACATTTCATTTCGGTTATTTTATCATGCTGAGCCATCCTTACCCGATGAATACTTAAGCCATTAACTATCAACCTTTCCTTGTTTTCTAAAAAAAATTTTTTTTCTAATACCGTTGTTTATTTAACCTCACTGTCACCATGTATAACAGAAGTTTATTATCAGTATTATTATCACCCTGTAAAAATAAGTATATATATTTGCGATTGTACAGCTTTGAAAATGAATTCGCCGAAAAGAGAACTATTCGCTGAACTAATCTTTCTTTCTTATTTAATCCCATATTTTACTAAATATATAATACTGAGTAAAGCCATTAATAATGATAAATAATAATAAAGTTTTCACGTAAAATGTAGTATTGACATTGTCTTGAAATAGTTTATCTGAGTTTAAGGATTTTTGTTTACTGAGGATCTTGACTATAGGGATATCATTCCTTTTATACCATCAACTTAATTTCTAAGCTGATCAGACTTTAGGCTACATTAGTTTCATAGGTTTATTATCTTTTACATGCTGTTGATATGATGAATATTCACTAATTCTGCATTTTCGAGTCCCATTTTTCTTCATTTCTGTCATACCCCAGGTCCTAAAAGTGGCGGGACAACCGTATGCAACGTTCTTCATGAATGCATTACATCCTCTGGTTGTCCATCCAGATATCAGTGATGGTTTGAAAGGGGGAAAAGACACAGATTACGTGAATGAATTCCTCGGTATGTTAATTTTCAACAAGTAATTTGACATGTATTTCACGAATGACAGTACACCGTCCGTATAATTAATATTTTTTTTGCTTTTCAGAGTATTATGAAAAAGAAAACTCGCTATCGCCAAGTTATTAATATGTCATCTTATGACTTCTGTTGTACATAATATGTTCTCTATAATTACAATGTTTTTTTAAGTTCTTCATTTATTGAATTATTACATCCCTTGCAGTGGTACCGACGTAAGCTATTCGAGCTCGGAATATTTTATTCTAAAACCAGTGGTGTGGTTATTTCGATATTTTGAGTCGCGATTTGGTTTAAACAATCATCTTTCAATCATTCAACGAAGTGCTCGAATCAGTACTGTGACATCGAAATATGACATAACCTAGTTTGTAAGTGTTTTCATGGTTACAATGTGTCATTTGCGTATAGCTTATTTCCGCAACTACCGCCGGTTTCTGTGGTCAATTTAGAGTGGTTCAGAAAAAAAAAATTTAAAGACGCGATACACAGTGACTTTATTTCGTTGGTAAATTTCCTTCAATGGAATTGATTTACTTACTCATTTGGTAAATATACACTGCGTTTGTTAACGGTTTAACGATTGAGTCGTATTTAAAGGTGATTTCCGGGAAAATCTATTCATCACATTACATTTTCTCACCCCAACAACACGTTGAGTAAATATGTAAAAACGCTATATTCGAGTTAGAACTAAAGTCACTTTGTATCACTGTCAACTAATCAATCACGCCTCACGCTGTTAAAATTGATAATTGACTCGTTTTTCATTCCATTATTATTTATGGTAATTCATTTTTGGCTAGATCGCACCATAGCGATTTGCAATCCACGTAACCATAAGTCTAAGTAGTCACTAATTAAACGATCTCTAGTTGAATTCACAGTGTTTGATTTGAGTAAATCACTACAATACCCATTTAAGTGTGGCTTTACTAACCACGTACCGTGATCACATGTTTGGATTTCGAGATGATCAAGATGTGGAGTGCCTTTTTGGTAATTACCTTTTACGTGTAGAATTTCATCCACTGAAAGGTAGGACCAGTTCTTTTTCGTCTGAATTTTATAGAAAAATAATTAGAAAAGGTGAATGAAATAATATACTTAGACATGTTTTATTGTCAGTGTTCGTTTTAATTATTTGGTGATTATAGAATAGTTAGGTAATGGAATGAAATGATCGTTGCCGTTCTATTATTTAGAGGTGGAAGTATTTTTGTGTTAAATGTTATCAGTATATACCCCTTAGTTTCAAGCTAGATTTTCAAGAGGGACTTCGGTTTCCACTGCCCTACGCATACGGACACAAAACTATCTTTCCTCAAGTTATTTTTTTAATAATATGGATATTTCTTCACGTTTTAGTGTTTGGAGTTCGTGTAGTCGCCAAGACTTCAGTAAATTTCCTACCATTTACTGTGTATTGGATCGAAAACTAAGTCGTTCTTTAAACTAAAATATCAGCTCAAAGTCCATTTTATTATTAGGTCATGCCAAATGTTAATAAAATTCCCAACTTGCTTATAAACCAGTACTTCGGTAATTGACTACAAGTTTTAATCTCCCTAGAACGAGATTTACTATTATTTTTATTCAAAACCGCTTATACAAAATGAGCCAAATTATTTGATAAATTTCTAGAGAAAGTAAGTGTAATGAAATATACGGACTACTTTTCACCCACTCAAAGAAAGAAATGCCTCTAGTTTCACTCTGATATCGATCTTCCAACTTTGTGAATTTAAACCACGTGACCATATTTAAGTTTTATTTACAGGTAGTTTGACAGTATTTAAATATCACTAATGGTGATCGACTGGATCATGAAAACGTCAACGTCTGAAGGAAAGCGCGGGATACAATGGACATCTAAGATGCAGTTGGATGATCTAGACTTCGCAGACGATCTGGCCCTTCTATCCCAAACGCAACAACAGATGCAGGAGAAGACGAACAGTGTGGCAGCAGCAATAGGTCTCAATATACACAAAGGGAAAAGCAGGATTCTCCGATACAACACAGAATGCACCAATCCAATCAAAATTGACGGAGAAGATTTGGAAGATGTAAAAACCTTTACATATTTGGGCAGCATCATTGATGAACAGGGTGGATCTGATGCAGATGTGAAGGCGCGGATCGGCAAAGCAAGAGCAGCATATTTACAACTGAGGAACATCTGGAACTCAAAGCAACTGTCAACCAACACCAAGGTCATGATTTTCAATACAAATGTCAAGACAGTTCTACTGTATGGGGCAGAAACCTGGAGAACTACGAAAGCCATCATCCAGAAAATACAGGTGTTTATTAACAATTGTCTACGCAAAATACTTCAGATCCATTGGCCGGACACTATTAGCAACAACCTACTGTGGGAGAGAACAAACCAGATCCCAGTGGAGGAAGAAATCAGGAAGAAGCGCTGGAAGTGGATAGGACACACATTGAGGAAAGCACCCAACTGTGTCACAAGACAAGCCCTCACATGGAATCCTGAAGGTCAAAGGAAAAGAGGAAGACCAAAGAACACATTACGCCGGGAAATGGAGATAGACATGAGAAAAATGAACAAGAATTGGATGGAGCTAGAAAATAAGGCCCAGGATAGAGTGGGTTGGAGAATGCTGGTCAGCGGCCTATGCTCCATTGGGAGTAACAGGCGTAAGTAAGTAAGTAAGTAATGGTGAATTATTTCTTATAATAGGGATCCACTAACTGGAATATAGTTGTCCGAGTTTGTTTAAAACTACACTTGTTTAAAAGCGATAAAATCCATCAAGCCTAACAGTCTGCAACGTCGTATGTCGTTTTTCTTTAATTTTCTTCCACCCACCATCAAGTCACAATAAATTAGACATATAAAATGTCCCCCAGCTACATCAGTCGGTGCAGACTCACAGTGATCTTTACCTAGTACCCTGAATATAACTTCAGCATTCCTCAGTCGGTTACCCAGGATGCTCGGGCTTTAAGGGCAGACATCTGATCTACGTTACAGGTAACCCAAGTTCACTAAAACTAATCAATCCTTCCAATCCATGTCTAGATTTCATCATCTGTTGACACACCAGTTCTGACAAGAATTTAAAAATATTGTGGCTAATCCGCTCGACTGCTTCACTTTCTCCTATCACAGTAACTATTGATGCACACCAATCCTGAAGAAAAGTTTTATATTGAAAGTCAAACGGACATTTGTGATGTTTAAGACGTTTAGAAGATTTCATTTTGTCATCATCTTTGCTAAACAGAACTACATCAACTATTTATTGTAAGTCGACAAGTGAATTTCTTCGACACGTATTAAGATGTTAAAACATCTCTCGAAGTAAGTGTTATCTCTAGAGATATCAATGACAAATAGATGGAAACAAAGTTTTCAGCCTTAACAAATAAGATTTAAGACAGCCAACCGCCGATAGTTTACTGTAGGCTGACATAAACAGTAGTTTTCGAGTTAAAGCATTAATTTTGTATAACATCAGTAACAAACCACGACATTAAACGTAGAATACATGTCAGAAAATTCGATTACAATCATCAAATAAGAGTACTTTTTATTCGTGTTAGAACACAAAACTATTGACTAATGTTATCCTGCTATTAATGTTTGTTTAATTACTACAATATTCTATTCGAATACTCTTACTGAGCTCTTTTCAATAAGCCTTCTGGAGAATCGGGGTACTTAAAATCGTAAGAAGCAGAATTGGGATTTTTTTCGTTGCTTTGGAATGACTTTTGAGTATTCCTAAACAACTATCCCAAAAGACGTTTACAATACCACTAACGGCGCCCAATCCTAGACGTTTTTATGTTAAAAAAATCAGTTGTCGATCGTATTCCAGAGTTTCTAGACTATTCCGCTCATATTTGCTAGGAGTAGTCATCTATTGACAATAGAGTACGATTTTAAATCAGACATCAATTGATCGCTGTTTCATCCTAATATATAAATCTATAGTAAAATACAGTGTGTTTTATAAGAACTTGTCCGAGTTATGTCATATCTGTTTTTATAAATGATGTCGCAGTAGGTTGAAAAGTCATTGCATTCCATCGGAATAATTTGTATGATGAATTAGTTATGATAGATTCATGGTTATTTTCAATAACAACAATCGCCAAAGAGAGAAATATTCTGTACAAGGTAGTATGGTACCGTTCTAATATACTTGCTCAGTTATTAATCACTCGTCATGTTACGATGTAGAACTTACTCTGATTTTTAATGATGAAACATCTCTGTAGGATGACTGCTGATTTGACTTTTCGCAACCAGCTTTGAAAATAGGTAACTTTGGCCAACTGATGTTATGCTTCGTTTCAAAATATTTCCACGCAATAAATCCATCTTCTAGTTTAAATTCTCGTACCTGCCAACTTGTTATCCATGCTAATGCACGTGGGATAGTTTTGATATGCTTTATCTTTAGTGTGCCAGTTAGTCGCGGATTCAGGGGGTTAAGCTCGTAATCTAAGTTAAACACGTTTCCCTGTACGGAAGTTTCATGTTTTTTTCTTCCGTTGATTCCTGTCATACATCCAGTCCCTGCAGAATAGTCCTTCCAAACTTTATCACTACTCCCACAAACAAAACAATCCCATTGTACTTTTTCGGTATATGCTTTCTATTAAAACAAATGATATGATAATTTAACCACGAGAATTTGTCAAAGCGTATGCTATATGGACAGGATAATTACTATTGACATAGAATGCTTGTAAATGTTTTCTCAATTTAAAGATTGGATATTTTAGAATACTAGTTCTGGAGTGTTGTATACCCCTTGTTTTCTGTGATGCGGAATTCAAGTCAAAGATAAATCTCTTGGTGCAATTTAGTCGTGACCTGATTTATTTGTCTGTGAATTCAATTCACTAAGAGATTGTGTATGAATGATTTCCAGGTATTTATGATTAAGATTTTGGGGCTGATAATGTACATGAAAGGTAACGTATGTAGATAGTTTTATATAATAATTTTTCAATACATTGATATTTACGAGTTCGACTGATTAGTTTCTCTCTACATATAGATATGGCGTAAAATCCCGTGTGACAAGTAAAAAATAATTGAAACTAGTTTTTCCCATTAAATAAACTTAGTTTAAGAACCATTTTATGGACCCTGTGCAAATTGAAGAGTTCTAAGCTGTTACTCAGCATTCCTTAGTATTTGGTGGCTCTATAAGCGATCTCAGATAGTAATGAAAGCTACTTTTTAATCGTAAAACTCTTCACAATTAACCTCAGCAAACAAATACTTTGTTTCTGCCATAAATGGAAACTTAAATATTGCCAATATGATATTAGTTAGTAAAGTAAGTCACTGTATCGATAAGTTTGATCATAAACAGTATGAATATGAAATAGGCTACTCTCTAATTAACCACCAGTGATTCATGCATACATTTATCTTCACCGCATAATATCTTGATCGTTACTTTTTCTAGGATAAACTTATCAAAATTGCAATGTATTTTGGCTGACTTTTCTCCAACGAAATATGTCGTGAAACTTAGTCTATGCGGGAACTTATGTAGACATTATGGTTTATTAACTTAGTTGAGTTTTATAAAAAGATTGTACCACGACTGTTGTTTACTTAACAGTATTATGAAAAACAGTTTGTCAATGATTTTGCTATCTAAATAAATTGCATAACTGTTTATTTATTTTAATTTGAGTGATTAAGGTCGAATTAACATCTCTGTTTTGCATGAGGTTTTATCTTTTTTTAATAAGTAGTATGATGAAATTCTTGGTTTAAATGAGTCCACTTTGCTTCTCTCTTATATTATCCTGTGTATTTTGATTTAATTACCTTTAAATGTATATAGGTATGTTCTTGATTACTGGATGGTAAAAATCAGAACTGTAAGTTTAATCTTTTTTAGTAATAATTAAATTATTCACTTGAAGAAAAATCTCTTGGATTTCTATTTGTTGAACGTTCATAGACAAAATAACTAACTGAGGTTATGGTTATTTCCAAATAAGGTCTGTCAAAAAGTACCATAAATTTTATAATATTTGATAATTTATTTCGAATAAATCACTTACCGGCATTTTTGTTTTCTTCATTTGAAATAGTTCAAAATAACCAATTTCCTTCAGCTCTTTCAAAAGTTTATCGAGATGTTTGGTTGTTGGATAGGAGTGGGTGGCTATAAAGAAGAAACTCGATTGACGTTTTCTCTTTTTCTTCGACTCTATCTTCAAAGAATTCCATGCATGTATTTTAGATTCTGTATATAATTCTTTGCCTATCAAAGTTTCTGGTTGCCTCAGTGGAGAACCATAAATAGGTTCCGGTCCACATGTTGCATTATTATTCGTGTTGTGTGGACTGTCCCCATATGTTTTTAACGGGTTCAGATCACTTCTGTGACAGGATAAATTGTGTAAGCTTTCATTCGTTAATTCATTCCACATATTACGTAACAAGCACATTGACGAATGGGTTATGTGAACAGGTTTCGTGTGGTGAAACTGTACTTCCAGTACCAACAACTATGAGAAAATTTAGGCATTGAAATTTTATTTTGCTCGGTTTGAGCTGAGTTTATCCTATAAATGATATACTAGGCTTTTGGTGTGTATATATTTTAGCATACCATAATCTATTTTCGTTTATTGCCGTTAGTTAGGATAACGACAGTACTAACAGTAATAATTCAAGGAAGTAGTATAACTTAATACGAAGAGAAAACCCCGGTACTGAGAAAGGCATAAGATGAAGCCATTTTAAATGTGGTGTAATGATGATGAAGCCAGTTAATGTCAGTAGTTACCGGGGCTGTTACCCTTCGAGATTCCAGAGGTACCTTATGAATTGGTGGTAACATAAAACGTAGGTTCAGCGCTACCTATTTCTTCCAACCATCAAACTTAGATCAATGGAATTAAGATACCTTTGGAATCATAAATGAACACAAAAATTTATATAATAATAAGGCCAAGTGAAAGATGATGGGGAGGATATAAAATGGTTTTAGGAAACACAGGCACGAAGCGTGGATCCTTGAAGTATATGATCAGTCCTGAACTACTCACATTCGGACAAAACCTATAAATATTTGTTTACAAGTTCACCTAATAATTTACTAACGTTAATTTAAAATTTTTGGATAGGCTAGTATATGGAACCGCATTATCATATGAATTCCTAATTATATAATTATTGTTATCAAAATAAGCTATCTAGTCGTAACTGACATACTTGCATCCAAAAGACATAATATTTCGTTTTCACACTAAAGCATTTGTTTTGAAGTGGTCCAGGGTATAAACATTGAGAATAATGCTTTTGGCAAGCAAAATGAAGGATTAAATTTGAAGATATTTTTTGTAAAGGTTTACTGCTCTTTTTGTTAGGATTGAATTTTAATGAATCGGCTCCTAAAAAATGCAGAGTATTTCTCATATGCATGTCGCTATTTTTTTTAAATATATAGGCTGATACTGTTGATCCTCGGGAGTTTTCTACAGTAATTGCAATCGGAATGGGAAGATGATTATGGACAAACATCATATACTGACTTAGTTTAGCATAGTGACGAGCATGAAAATGTTGAATGGGATCATCGGTTAGGTGCGATGATAGTTGTAAAGCCGACTTAATTGATTCAGATGATCGACTGATGTTAAAGATATCATTAGCTAACGTAAATGAGAAGTTTTTCTCCTTGTTTTGACCTAATCGCCTACTGCTTCTTTGATCCATATGCTGATATCCTTTCCCAGCATCATTTGAAATAAGCTTTTCCTTTTGTTTTTCTGATCTGGAATCCTGTTTATCTGATTCAGAACAATCTGTACTACTTTTTCCAATAAATCTGAGCGAGCTTTCATGTGAAAGTTGTTCTGAAGAGTGCAAGTATGAACTAGTGGCATAAGAATTACTTGATTCAGATAACATGCAAATACTGGAGACAAAGTGTTCACTGAACGTATAATCATCATCATCAATATCACAGGATTCCATTTTTAATTGGGATAAATTGTTTCGATTCTTAATACTTGAGTTCGTACTTCCAGTCAACACTAAACCACTGTACAGTTTCATTGATTCTGTATCTACACGCTGATAATTCAAATCCTGATTCGAAACTCCACTGGTTTCTCCAAAATATAGTTCTGAATCGTTTGATTTACAACTTTCAGACTGAAACGAGCACATAGTTGCACCAGGAACCATCGTTTTGGAAAAACTGTGATTAAATTTTATTGTATTTAGAAACCTGAAATAATAAGAAATATGTATGTATAACTATATATGAGTACCAGTAACAAGCCTTAATTTCCTGCCTCTGTTTTGGGAATAAACAGAGACTCAAAATATAACTCACGATAATGTTATAACTTCTTTAATTGTTCATGACGTACCGAGAGCTTGGCAAATATCTACAGACTAGTAAAACGATATTTCATTTAGGCAGCCATTTGTTATCCCTACAACCTTGGATAAATCATTGAAGAAATTAACACATCCATGATCACTACGAAATAGCTAACTTTTTGAATTGTATAACCTAAATCAGTTTTTATTTTTGTCCGGAACATTTGAATCATTTTCACATTTCCCTTAATCACTTTCTCGAACAAGCATAAATTATCGTCTTGTAATTTCTGACAAAACGTTTCTCTCCTCAACTTCAGGTTTATTCTTGTTTTACTACTTCGAATTCTCTTATTAATGCACTGCAAACGACTGTCTACTAGGTCAGCAAAGGGATATATTGAATTTTATTGGAGTAAGCTGTGTTGCGCAGGGCTATGTAAATCAGAATTGAATAACCAGTTCCTGCTTCCTCGTTAGATAGGTGGTTTGTCTGTAGGCGTTATTTGAACTCGCGGAGACAAAGTAGATAAGCGAGACATATTCCAGTCGCTAAATAATCTCTGCCCCCACATTTAATCCACAAAGCTCTACAATATGCAGATCGGTTAGAACTCCTAAACAGCAGGTTATGTGAAAACCAGGATAAGTATGGGGTGGCAAAAACATTATTTTTGCAACACTAACGGTTTAAGTTTTCTCTAAACTGTTTTCACATTTAAAAGTAAATTGTCATCTGGTAACAGCAACAGAAAGAAATAAGGTGGCCGTAAAAGTTTTAATTCATCAGTAAGCTGTACCTGAAATCGTTGAGAGAATCATCTTATTTCTGTTCGTTTAACATACAGCTTCCAAAACTTGATAAATCATTATTTTCTCAGATTTATCAAACCTGTTCGTATAATAAAATATCAAGTGAACTAATCGATCGTCATACAGTCAGTGTTTCCAGACACGAAGATTTTTATTACGCTAGAAAATGGAATATGAATTAGGAGTAGTAACACCTAATCACAGTATCGTCTTATTTTTATTAATTCGTACAGCCTGGTATCAAGTTATATTGTATAATTAACAGTTTTAAAACCAAATGAAATATGTTAATTGGTAAGTTATAGCCAACGTAAACAGTTAAAATGAGAATTTTAATGATTATGCGAAAACAAATCAAATTATATATTCATCCGCTTTATACGAAAAAATTATTGTTGTTACCGACTCATAACTAAGCACTAATCAGTTCAAATGTATTACATGGCTCATTAGTTACTTTATGGATTGTTCCATAATCTAAATAAACATCAACTAGTAAAACACACTTACCAGGTTTATAACTAACGTTTCGAAACGAATAATACTTCCATATCACTTGTGCAGAAGCATATATTTCATGAAAACAATCAATAGTACGAACTGTACGTAAAATAAAACTAGATCTAATTTATAAATTTTTACACAGAATATGCTTTTTGTTTGTACGTAGTTTTCCAGCCTACATATGCATGGAAAAGAATCAAGAGCACTCAGTGGGTTGGACTATGGCCAATAGAGGAATCTAGGACGTTCATTTTATTTTGTTTGGCGGGTTTGCCTGGATCTCAGCGTTAAGTTTCGGATCATATACCTATTGCTTCAAACACCAACATCTTATTCAGGAACCTGCTGAGTCTAGACGGGTACTAAATTGTTTAATAGGTATTGATTTATTTGCAGTGGTTGGCATTTTCTAGTTGTTGGTGTTAAAGGACGCAACTCACTAGTCTATACTGGTACATGTATGTCGTAAGCGGAATACTCGGATATTTCCATTTAACCACAAGTTTTAAAAAATGTTGGCTTGTAGCTAGTAGTGGAATTCAAGATACCTAGTTTGTCCCGTTTGGGATGTGTCGGCTAGATTAACCTTTATCATGTTA